AACACTATAGTGAATGTCACCAATGGGCTTCGTGCTCTTTGAAGACCAAGTTTGGGCTGCCAGGTGGGAGCTCAGGGAGCTGCCTCTCCAAAAACACTAGTGAATAACAAAATCCTTTCGGCTCCTTTCTGGAGATTTTTGGCTGGACTGAAACCTGGTCCTTAGCAGTGTGCTTAGTTTACTGGTGATTCTTCATAAATTCATTTGCTTTAAAATTAGTTAACTAATCTCTAATAAATGTTTGCAGTGCTTGAATCTGGAAAGCGATCAACTGCCCATATAAACTCAGATAAGTCACAGCAATGAAGTTAGCTTTTAGCATATTTGTAACTCAAGGTATAATATTGTTAATGAAGATCTGTTGACTGAAACCATGTTGGTAGGACGTGATACTAATAATGTCTTATTGATAGAACTGTGTATCGACCACTGTTGTTTTTGTTGAGAAATACTAGGTTGGGTGTTACTGTTTATTCTAAAATTTGGCACAAAAAATAGGAACTTCCTCCAGAGCTCTGCTCATGTCTTACAGAACTCGTAGGTTCTGGAATCAACTGGAATGTTGATTTAAGTGTCTTAATTTTTGTAGTTATTAGTTAATGCTTTTCATATTTCAAATGATCTCTAATGGTGAAAAAGAGAATTCCTTCAGCCTTCAAAAGCCTTGAAAAACTGAATCCATATCCATGAACAAAATTGCAGGACAGGTACCTAAGCAGTTGCTGGCCCTTTGCTAGAGGAAAGCAGTAACCGTGTGGCCATGCTCTTTCATGGGCAGTGGAGACTTCTGAGGTATTCACTTCATCGTGAGGGAGTAACAACAGTATTTTTTCTTCCTGTCTGATTTTAATTAAATGTTTGATGGTAGCTCCTCATTTTTGTAGGTAGGCCACGTATTCCCCTGCTAATAGTTATCTGAGGCCACTGAGATGTGGAAGATCTGTGCAGTTACAGCACCACTGATGTCTTTTATAAGGCAAATAAAGTCCCAGGTAGTCACTTGGTGTACTTGAGTGTCCTGGCAGAGATGTCTCATTCTGAGCTTCCAGGTCTGAGAGGAGATCCATGTGTTCCCTCTTTGGCAGAAAGGGCAGGTCAGGTCTGGTAGTCACATGGGTTGGATTTGGCAGTCAATGTTGCATTCCGTGCCAGTCCTGTGGACTAGGGGAGGACCGTCAGCCATCCCATCACTTCTTTGGAAACTCTTGCATGCTACCTGAGAAGCACTCCGCTTCAGACTGTTGTGCAGGGGACTTTGCTCCTTGAACTTGATCTTCCCAGGAATATCTGTTACTGAGTACTCTGGAGAGGTTGGTGCTGAGTCCTAAGTAAGGAGTTTCCAAATGCCCCATAGAGCAATCGTATCTGCTGTAACATGCCAGATTTCAGCACGCTGCCTCCTCTTTGTCCGAGTTGTGTTCCAGTGTACTCTCCTCGCTGCCAGGTTATGTGGCTGGAAAAGAGGAAAATTTCAAGCAGACCAGTGACCAGGGTCCAGTGACTGAACTGTGCATTAGAGGGTCCTGGAATAAAAAAGATGATGACTTGTGGTGGATCATTTCAGCATCTGCCAGAAGCAATAAGCTATTTTTCTTCAGTTGGAGAAAGTGAGAATAGATACCAGAGGTAAAGTGCACGTTCACTTGGCAGCTTAACTCACTGTAAAGCTCAGCAGAAAGCTCAGATGAATCTGAATGTCTGGGGCAAACAGAAGAAGTAGCGTTTCTTACCCTGCTGCAGCTGGGCAGCTCTAATTTCCTCAGATTCAGTTTTACTTCAGAGCAACCAATGGAGCTAGAAAGCATTGTTTTCTCCTGTTCTGAGGGCTGCCCACTTGATCCTCACCAGGTGGCGGTTGAAAGCCACTGTAAAAGACTTAATTTTCAGGGAAACAGAATTGCAGTGATGGGCAGGGACGTTCCTTGCTTTCCCACTCAAACTGCTTGTCAGCATCACCTCCTTGGGTCCAGCCTCAACTCTAACTCCGTCAGCTTTTCCAGATTCTTATATATACATCAAAAGTCAGCACTCATCTGCTCTGTATTGCCTTGTCACGGAGCTCTACTGCAGCAGGTTTAAAATAAACAAAAGGGAAATACTTTTAAAAACTAAATGTTAGGCTGCAGAACGTATTGCCACTGGAATTTTTGGAAGCCCAAAGTATAAATTGGTTCAAAGGGGGATTAGGCAGATTCATAGAGGATTTGCCCAGTACAGATTCTTAACAGCGAGTCTCAGTGCAACTCAAGCCAAGCAGTTCTTCTGCAGCTGGTTACCACTTGATCGGAGGATGTGCTGAAGAGGAACGTCCTGTTAGTTATGTTTCTTATACTCTCTCCCCAGGTATCCATTCTTGGTGTGAATAGGGACAGGATATTTGAATACATGGTCCTTTCGTTTGACTGACTGCAGCAGTCCTTAGCTTTGCACATACTAAGTAGTTTTGGGTCATTCATCAGAATGTGAGCTGTTCTGCTGGGGGCGTTCGGACAGAGCTGGTGAAAGTGGACAGGACCTTGAACACACAGGGCAATGCTGTGCTTCCTACCAGAACATGCAAGTGAGTGGTCTTGCTGTGGGCTCTTGGGTCTGCAGAAAGGTCTGTGTGTCTGTCCCAATCACATACCAATAGTTTGGAGTTGACTTAATCTGACAAGAATACTTGTTCCCTTTAAGACTATTTTGTTGGTCAATGTTATTGCCATTAAGTTTGTCAGAGTCTTGTCCTGCATCGTAATGCTCTTGCACCCAAAGCTTGAAAGCAATGTTAAGGTACGCACTATTGAAACCAGATGCTTTTGGTCTATTTGTAGAGCACGAGTAGCATGGCAAGTTCATAGATTAATTGTTGCTTGCATTATCCTCTGGGAGGGAATGCCCAAATGGATTTCTTATGTTCCATAATTGTTCCCAGAGTCTATTTCTGCCAAGCAAAGACTAGGCCAGCTGAAAGTGGCAAATACTGTAGTCATACCACCTCTGTGGTTCATTGTAGACTCGTGCAAAGTGTCTGAAGGTAAATTTGAGGAGTATGTTAGTCCTGTTAAGTATACCTGTAAATAAACTTTCCTTATTCATCTGGGTGGCTTGACCTTTCCACTGCTTATTGTTGTAAGGTCCGCTGTCTGTCTGGAAATCTGGGTGGGGGACATCTTTGAGGAGGCAGCATTGTTTGTATTCTGAGCAGCAGAAAAAATGTGTTTATCATCTTGGAAGGGTTCTCACCTGCTTCAAATCCTTAGGACCTTTCTTTCAGATGTATTTATTTCTGTTTCACTTTGTTCTTTCTGTCAGCCACCCTAAAACACATATTAGGTCCTGTATTGCTCTGGAATTGGCTCATTCTAAGAGCTTTGTCTCCTCCATAACTAAAGAAAGTGAACGGAATCACCAAAGTCTTTAGAGGTGAAACTTGCTGAGCATCTCTGAAGATTACGTCTTCTGTAGTTTCTGTTTGTGATTGTGGGAGCAGTGGTTATCTGCCACTGTGAAACAGAAAATGTAGCTGTGTTTTTAGATGAAATAAGGAGGCAATGACTTTAAACTCCAGCTGTAGGGTATGGTTCCCTAAACTCCTGCTTAAATGAGTTTCAGAAGTTGGGTACATTCTCTGTCCAAATATGTTCTGTTTAGTTCTGAGTAAACCATTTGTGAGTGAGACTTGGTTATCCTTTCAGAGGGATCAGGATTAATCAGCCATCACCAGTGAAATTATTTTTGACTTCGTCCTTTGTTGATATAGATGAGTTTCCAATAGAAAGGAATACTGAATCTTCTGCTTCAGGCCTTAAAACAGTGTCAAATTTAGAATTAGAATTACTCTAATGTGGGGGATAGGTTGGTGCCACATTTTTTATTCTAGTGCCTTCCTTGTAGTGTCTACTTACAGCCTGTTCTGGGGACATGATGCCACTTCAAGTCTTACTCTGCCTCACCACTTATAGATTCCAGGTCCTTCGCCCTTTCCCTCTTCAGGTTTGTCAACCATTATCTCTTTGTGGGGGTATAATTCATTTTTAGTCAATATTGATATAAATGCTTACTTGCCTCATCTCAAAGTCTTGCCCTTTCTGTCTTATGATAATCATGTTGACCATGAGGAGCTGGCCTGTAACTTTGTCCCTCTGATGTTAGCAGTCAGCATCACATCTTCCTGTGCCAGTGCGCTGTCTGTGCCCTGCACAGTCACACTGGTCTTTTTTCCTGACTCCTCATTGCATGCTCGTGTCTACTTTGCTACTTGTTCTTCCTCTTATGACTGCTTTTAACGTCATGGGCTTTACCACCTTTCTTCTTGCCACTGTCCAGAATTCCTCCTAGTTCTAACTTAAGCTTTTCCAATTGTTCTGTGTCTGAATATTAGCCCACGTAGTTTTGGGACTATGCTGTAGCTGTAGTTATACTATAACATGGTTTATATCTGTCCTCTGACAAAATTCATGCATCTTGTCATCCTATATCTTGTTCAAGGCACAGGCTACAGAGCTGTTAAGGAGTTCTTTCTGCCTCTGTGTTTAAGAGAAAAGATATTTTAAAAATAAAAGATGTGTTAACTCCATGAGAACAGATCAGGAGAAAGGACAGACCAGATTATTTGGATCTGGTGAGATAGAGAGGAAGGCAGGGAAGCAGGTATTACATACCACAGAACAGCTGTGTGAAGCCTTCTGAATTGGTACGCGAGTCCTTTCTGATACACCACTGTGTCATTTAGCATAAGCAAGTCTGCCATGCTGTGGTGAGGTGTGTGGGGGCTGTAAAGTTCCCAAAGGTCTGCTGTACCGAACTGCTGTATCCTGCTGCTGCTGTTTGGCTTTGGAGTTTTGTAAACTCCCAAATATATGTGATTGACCTGCTGGTATCCTGGTTATGGCTAACAGTATTACTGGGCCTTGTTTTACTCCAACAGTGTTCATAAGAGCGGACAATTCATGCACTATGTTAGACTATGTTTCATTAACTTGCAAGTCTCTCTCTCATTTCCAGTTGCCATCTTCTAAATGGATTCCAGTGAATTTTCGGGATCTTTGGACCCCCTGTCCTTGCCTGACAAACCGCTTATTGGTGATCTCCCTGCTGACATGGAGTTTGGGGAAGATCTCCTGGGCTCCCAAACAGCTTCTACCCAGGAAGTTTCAGTTCTTCAGCCCCCTGACTGGGATCAATCCAAGCAGATGACTGCAGATGGGGACTTGGACCTTCTAGTGAAAGCAGACAGCCTGTCTGAACTAAACAAATCAAATGACCTCGTTCTAGATAAACCTAGTGTCTTGGATATGCTGGAGAAACCTGATGTCTTAGATGACTTGGATAAAACTGCTGACTTGATGGAGCTAGATAAATCAGAGGGTCTGGATGGGCTGTATAAGGCACATCCTTCCCAGGATGTGGAGGATGGACCGGCAGACTCCTCTGCCCTCTCTAGAGAAGCCCTTGTTCCAGAAACATGGAAAGAAGGGGAAGATGCACCAAAAAATGATTCTGGGGACCTAAAGGAAGATGGTGCTGCTGCTATTTCTGCACTGTCTGATGACAACACCCCTGAGTCACCCCAACAGCCTGTTCCTGACTCTGGGGACCTCAGCAGTGCCCCAGCCACAGAAGAAATCACAGCACAATCCTCAAGTCCACCAATGGCGCACCCCCAACTCAGTCTTAAACAGACAAAGAAGACAAGGTTGAAGGCACCAAGGAAAAGCTCACCCATGCAGAGGGAAGGGCTGGCAGGGGAAGCAGAGGTGGAACTGAGCCCAGACAACAGTACTGCAGCTTTGCCTCCTGGGCCCATGGAGGAAAACCAGGCAGAGGAAGGGGATGATAGTGGAAACAACTTGCTTAAAGAAAGTAGTGTACTGAAAGCACAGGAAGCCTCACCACCAGCAGGTAGGTTGTTATCTCTGCAGAACTTAGCTTCCTTTTGCTCAGGGGGTTATACTGCTGCACATTGCTGAAGCTGGAGTCTGTTTTGCACTCCAGCTTTTCCCATCGTCCCCTGCTATGGAAATTGTCAATGCTACTGATGGACTAGATTTGAGGAAAGTGTCTTGCTTACAGGGAATAATGCTCTGGAAGCTGCTTCCTTGGTGCACATAAGCTCTTGCTCTGGCTTTCATAGCTTTAACTTTGATTTTCAATGCTTGTGTCAGCTAGGAGCTTCCCTGATAAAGCTGCGGCTGCGCGTCAGCTTAGCTCACACTCTTCAGCATTGGAGTCTTTGCTGGAACTGAGGGTCACCAGGAGAAGGTATTTCCAATAGGCAAAGTCCTTCTACCCAGTCTGGCCATTCTCAGGAGATGCTCAGTCTCAGGCAGAAGCAGTTGGATCAACTGCCCAGCATGCCTCCCCCATACAGGGAGGTCTCCCCCTTACAGGACTTCTCCCAAGCTGTGTGTTTGGATCTCTAACTACAGGTGGTGAGTTTAGGAGCTTTCCTGTGTCTGATCACCACCAGAACTGTGCTTGTTAGCCAGGACTGTCTGAGGCTTCATGTGCAGACTGACCCAAAGGGTGGCTGCATTTGAAGAACACCTGCACCTGTCCTCTTCTGTTGGAGAAAAGCAAGATGTTAGATGCAAGCTTATTGTGTGCTTCTGTTCCAGGAGAAGGTCTGTCTGGGAAGGGAAGCGAGCTGCCAACTGAGAAGGTGAGGAGAATGCAGTCAAGTACATATGCTACAGGAGCACAGAGGGTGGCTGGCTGTTGTCAGACTCTGTGAGGGACACTGGCTGTCTCATCACCCCTCTGGGAAGGAGTTTGCATGTCTCCTGTGATGGAGTGATCCCTGCGCGCTGCCACTGTGCTGTAATGTGGCTTCAGTGTGTCCCTGCTACCCCCAGCTAGAATGTCATTCTCATAAGCCTACTTCCCCCTCGCCCCCATCTTGCCAACTCTGGTCAGGTATCCATGGAGTTTTATCTGTTTTCGGCCTAGTTATTGGGAAAGCAAATTGCAGAAGCTGGAATTCCACCATGATCTGGGATATTTATCCATGGTTGTCCTAGCAGATGGTTAGCCTAAGTATTTTCTGAATGTTTTCTAGGAGCAGAAAAGAAGTGAAAGAGCCAGAAGATCAGAAACTGCCAGGCCTGAAACTGTGAACTCCTCTGAGAGCAGTGAGTAACTAGGGCTGGCCAATGCCTGTTTTCAGCCAGAGAGCAGGGCTCAGGCTGGTTGCGGGCAGGTAGTTCATGGTGTGAGTACGGTGGGAACTCTGGAGCTTCTGTGCATACTTTCCTCCTACGCAGGACAGGTCCCTTCACCCCATGAGTCTTCATCCTGGGATACTTGCCTTGCTTTCTCAGGGCACTTAGGTTGAAGGGAAGGTTTTTACGGTGTAGTAAATACAGGTAGTGTTTTTACAGTGGTGTGTGGACACCAAGCACCAAGTAATAGGATGAGACTCTGGGGTTGTTACCAGGAAATCTATCTTCCATCTCTTCAGCCAGGAACCTTTGTCTCTATGGCAGCAGGCTGGCTGAAGGAAGGTTGCATTTTGGGAATTTTCCTGCAGAAGTATGTGAAGTCTCTGTTCTTTGAGACGTTGAGTGTCACCCTGCCATTCCCTAGTATTTTTATGTTGCTCCTTCATTGCCAGCTTGTTCCCTTTAAGGTCTACTGGTTCTTGGAGGGTTTTCTGCTGTAAGTGTTCACACTTTGGGCTTCTGCTCGACCTTGGCAAATCATTACTTCCTAGAGAGGAATTGTACTTACGCCTAGTTTGCTTAAAGACCTCCTGACTCATCTCCAATTCCAAAAGAATATCTTTTAAGGGTCCCTTTATCATTCCACCCAGACAGGTACAAAGCATGTAGAAGGACTCCAGAAAGGTGACCCCAGAAAGCCTCAGTATGTGTCTCATGGCAGAGGTTTCTCTCTCAGTTCCTAATCAGGGATTTCTGTGCATCTTTATCTGCTGCCTTGCAGTTCCAGTCTCTGACGAAGATTCTGATGCAATGGTGGATGATCCCAACGATGAGGATTTTGTTCCTTTTCGTACCCGACGCTCAACTCGCATGTCTTTACGCACTCAGATGGCTCAGCGAGCTGCCCGCTCTACTGTCACCAAGATGACTTGTGCCAACTGCCGGACCCCACTGCAGAAGGGCCAAACTGCCTACCAGCGTAAAGGGCTCCCTCAGCTTTTCTGCTCCAGCTCCTGTCTCACCACCTTCTCAAAAAAACCACCTGGCAAGAAGATATGCACCTTCTGTAAAAAGTGTGTGTTCATTCCACTTTCCTCAATACTCCCGCACTTGTAACCCCATTCACCTGCCCCACAGCCCTACCTGCCAGTCCCCATCCCTGTGACTCTGTTTCCCATTCACCCACATCACTCCTGCCCACTGCCAGCTGCTGCCCCATGTCTTCCTTCACACACTGCATATCCCATGCTCCCTACACCCACTTCACATTATGGCCTTTCCCTGCCTGCCCCCAGGCTTAGTGCCCCATACCCCAGCCTCCTCTCAAAACAACCTCCCGCATGCTCTGTCTTCAGGCACCACCCCTATGGGCCAGGACAGAAGCTGCTGTGAGAGTTCTTGCCACCCTTTTGGGACACCAGAAAGTCCCATGCATTGCAGTGTGCCATCCTGTCCCTTTGTGGCAGGACTGGTGCGTCCCTGCACTAACACATCCTGTCCTGATCCCTAGGGAGATCTGGAACACCAAGGACTCTGTGGTTGCCCAGATCGGTTCAGGTGGCTCTTTCCATGAATTCTGCACCTCTGTCTGCCTCTCTCTCTATGAGGCCCAGCAGCACAGACCAGCACCTCAGTCCGCAGATGCCTCGGACACCAGCCGCTGCAGTGTCTGCCACAAACCTGGCGAGGTAAACGAATCCCTTGTCCTTCCCATGTCCTGGATGAGGTGCTTGTGACCTGCAGCACTTGACTGTGCCTGGGACCATCACAGGACATTCATTTGCCAGCTTCTCTTGTGGTGTGAGGCCTCAGCCCCTGAGCTGGCTTGGGCTCACTCCCACGTCCTTCCTTGTTACTGTGAACTAGCCCTTATTCCAGCAGAAGAAATAAGGCTTCTGCTTCTCCCCGCGCTGAAGCTCTTTGCTTCCTGCCACTCCAGCTTCCCAGTTGCTCTACTGACTTTTGGTGAGGGAGGCCAGCCTGAGTCCACACCAGCTTCCAATATGGCACTTGCCTGAGTTTTAGCCTAATAATCTGTTATCCCACGGGCTGTGATAGTAGTGGTGCACAGGTGTTGGAAAGAGGCACAGGGTGGTTTGGGGGAGTGACAGCAATCATGTCTCTGCAGATCCAGCATGAGGTCAGCAATGGGAACGTGGTTCACCGCATTTGCAGTGATGCCTGCTTCACCAAGTTCCGGGCCACCAAGGGGCTGAAAACTAACTGCTGTGACAACTGTGGACTTTACATCTACAACAAGGGCTTGCCCCTGGAGTACCTCTTCCATGAAGGCCAGCAAAAACGCTTCTGCAACTCTGCCTGTCTCAACAGTTACAAGAAGGTGTGTGGAGTCAGCTGCCTGGCGTGGGGGGCCTCTGTGGGTTCACAGCTCCTTTACTTGGTGTGGCACAGGGCACTTTATGCAATAGCAGGTGACTTGAATCCCCTTGGCCTTTTATTGCTGACAAAACATTTAAGAGATTGCTGTGAAGAAACTTTGAAGCAGGCAAACAGAATTTATTCATTCCACGTGGGGCCTATCTTGGATCTGAGCACAGGTTAGGCACTCAGTAAGCTGGACTGTGCAGCGACACTGGTATGTGCAGTTAGCTTGGGCTGGGTTCTTTTGGATGTCTCCCCAAAGCTTGGCTGGATATGTTCCTCTGTGGCCTGAGAAGGCTTCACTTAACTGTCGTCTTGGGATTGCCAAGCTCTGTATTCCTGCCAAGGTACCCTTGAAATGAGAAGGTGAAGTGCCAAAGGCAGCCTTTTTTGCTACCACCACCCGAACCTGCAGACTGTGAGCCTGGCTCTGGCATCAGGCGTTCCCTGCAGGACAGCTGCCCTGTGGCGGATACAGTAGTGGGGTGGGATATGAGGGTCAGACCTCGCCGGCTGTGGTGGTCTCCCTGGCAGCTCTGTTCTGCTCTGTGTTTGCAGAAGAACACTCGGGTCTACCCATGCATGTGGTGCAAGACATTGTGCAAGAACTTCGACATGCTGCCCAACGTGGATCGCAGTGGCAAGATGGGCCTGTTCTGCTCCATTTGCTGCACTACCTCCCACAAAGTGAAGCAGTCAGGCTTGGTTGGTAAGAGCACCTATGTACAGGGAATCAGTCACCTCTCCACTCCAACTCCTTCCTTGGTACTATTTATTACTTGTGGATGAGACTGGAAAGAAGGCATGTTGATTGCTTGGGGAGGAGTCCAGTGAGACAAGTAGAAGGAGATTTGGAGAGGGAGGAACCCTCACAGCATGTAGACATCTTAATACTGAGTAGTGTATGTTGCTGTTCTTGACAATGCAGTAAGCAGTTGTAGTGCCATACTGTGCTGGCATAGCCTTTTCCATTACACAGAGTAGCAGGGTGTCCCGGAATGAGTGTGGTCTCTGGTGCAAGTATTGCAGCCTGTTTTGTCCAAATTCCTGTAGAGCCAGGGTCACTTCCTTGAACCACTCTGCTCTCCATCCATGTTTAACATTTCTGACCTAGCAGAATCTGGTGCTTTTAGTTTCCTGATGTTCTTGTCCCTTGCTTTTTGATAATAGCTTGACAGACTGAGGATGAGTGAGTAGCTTGCATGCCATCCTCAGAATCCAGTCCCACGTCCTGTGCTGCTGCCCTCACCAATTCCTGTCTGTTTCATCAGGTCCCCCTAGACCCTGCAGCTTCTGCAGAAAGAGTTTATCTGAACCCTGCTATTACAACAAGACAGACCGGGTTGTCTACCAGTTCTGCAGCCCCAGCTGCTGGACCAAATTCCAGGTACTGAAATATTATTCATGCTGGGCTGGGCTGTAGAGCTCATGCCTCCTTTCACACTTAGCAGAGGCTCCACCTTCCTCAACCTCCTCAGGGAGGGTCCATAAGAAAGTCTCTGCTGGAGCACAAGAGTTGCAGTGACTGTAGTTGCCAATCACTCAGTCTTGACCTTATCACCCTCTTCCTCCATTGGGATAAGACGGGCTGTAATTCACTCCTGTCTGTCAGGTTATGCCCAGTGGGAGTGCAGTGTAGAGCTGTGCTCCCTGAGTGGTTTAGGATGTAGTGGCCTTACAAGGGCACGAGGAAAAGCACAATTAAGTTAGCAAAGCAAGTGGGCACCTGCTAGTGGGGTGGAAGGGGGCAGAGCTGCCCTCTGAGCCAGGTGTCACCAAGGAACTTATATCTTCTAGGATGTGTTGTCTAAAAATTGACAACCAGCAGGCCTGGATACCTCATGTTTACTAATCCGTAAATGCTTGACTGGTGGTTTTTAATCTTCTGATGTTAAGTTTCAGCACATGTGAAATGTTTGTGGTGTTCAAAGGCAACTGGAAGAATATTAGTTTTGTACAGCTGTCAAATAACAAAGCAATAGTCAGGAAGACCTGGGAAACTTAGGCTAGGACATGTCTTGGGCAACTGAGAAAACTTACAGAATCTAGAGGCAGAGAGTTAGTTACTGGCAGTTGCAGCATCTGGTTTTGGGATTTAGTTTTTTTATTGTGATTTTTGTGTTGGATTTTTTTGTTGTTGTTTTTTGTTTGGTTGGTTTTTTAATAAATCCCTGATGTAATCCTTCGCTGAGATCACAAATGGTGTTGGTAGGGTAGCTGTAGAATTTCTGCAGTTGTAGACTTCATAAGACTTGAATCATAGAATGGTTTCATTGGAAGGGACCTTTAAAGGTCATCTAGTCCAACCCCTCTGCAATGAGCAGGGACAACTCCAAGCAGGGACATCTCCAACAGTTGCTCAGAGCTCCATCCAACCTGACCTTGAATGTTGCCAGGGTTGGGGCATCTACCACCTCTCTGGGCAACCTGTTGCAGTGTTTCACCACCCTCATTGTAAAAAATTTCTTCCTTATATCTAGTCTAAATCTACCCTCTTTCAGTTTAAAACCATTACCCCTTGTCCTATTGCAACAGGCCCTGCTAAAAATTTGTCCCCGTCTTTCTTATAAGCCCCCTTTAAGTATTGAAAGGGGCTGCAATAAGGTCTCCCCAGAGCCTTCTCTTCTCCAGCCTGAGCAAGCCCAACTCTCTTAGCCTTTCTTCATGAGAGGTGTTCCATCCCTTTGATCATCTTCATGGCCCTCCTCTTGACGCACTCCAACAGGTCCATATCTTTCCTGTGCTGAGGACTCCAGAGCTGGATGCAGTATTCCAGGTGGGGTCTCACCAGAGCAGAGGGGCAGAATCACCTCTCTTGACTAGCTGGCCATACTTCTTTTTGGGCAGCCCAGGATATGGTTGGTGTTCTGGGCTGCGAGCACGCATTGTCAGCTCATGTCCAGCTTTTCATACCAGTACCCCCAAGTCCGTCTCCGCAGGGCTGCACTTCCCTTCCATCACCCAGCCTGTTTTGATACTGGAGGTTGCCCTGACCGAGGTGCAGGACCTTGCACTTGGCCTTGTTGAACCTCATGAGGTTCACACAGGCCCACTTCTCAAGTTTGTCCAGGTCCCTCTGGATGGCATCCTGTCCCTCAGGCGTGTCAGTTGCACCACTCAGCTTGATGTCATCTGCAAATTTTCTGAGGGTGCACTCGATCCCACTATGTCATTGATGAAGATATTAAACAGTACTGGTGCCAGTACGGACCCCTGAGGGACACCACTTGTCACTGATCTCCATCTGGACATTGAGCTGTTGACCACTACCCTCTGGATGTGACCATTCAACCAATACCTCATCCGCCGAACAGTCCACCCATCAAATCTATATCTGTCCAATTTAGAGAGAAGGATGTTGTGGGGGACCATGTCAAAGGCCTTACAGAAGTCCAGATAGATGACATCTGTAGCTCTTCCCTTGTCCACTGATATAGTCACTCCATCATAGAAGGCCACTAGGTTGGTCAGGCAAGACTTGCCCTTGGTGAAGCCGTGCTGGCTGTCTCGAATCACCTCCCTGTCCTCCATGTGCCTTAACATAGCTTCTAGGAGGATCTGTTCCATGATCTTCCCAGGCACAGAGGTGAGGCTGACAGGGCGGTAGTTCCCAGGGACCTACCTTCTACCCTTTTTAAAAATGGGTGCAATGTTTCCTTTTTTCCAGTCACCAGGGACTTCACCTAATTCACCTAACTGGAATTATTGCCATGTGAAATCAGCATTGTAACGTATAGTAAACCCATGCATAACCTGCATTAGGAGCTGTCTTGCTGGCAGATCTCAGAACACACTTGTCAAAGAAAAAACACTGAAAAGAGTGTTTCAAGATGGCTTCTTGGGGATCAGTATTAAGTCCAAGGAGTTCAACATCATCATCAGTCATCTGGCAATAAAGTGAAAGTAAGCGTGATAAAATTTTGCAGATGAAACAAAAACTGGTGAAGTGTTAACTCATGCTGAGGTCAGGGCAGTCATTAGAAAGCAAAGCAATTGGATTGCTTGACAAGACTGGTTCCTTCTAACGTGTGCACAGTTCAGTGCAAGATCCTGTATCAGCCTTACTCAAGTAGTATGGGGATGTAAGTCCTGGGAAAATAAGGATTTTGAAAAGGCCCTGGGATTACAGTGGATAAGCCATTCAGTATGAGTGTCTTAGTTTACAGCCACAGAGGGAAGGATTAATTAAGTTACTGCCAGTACAAGCAGAGGAACAGGGAGTTAAAGTTTGGGGGCTAGGGAGCAAAAGAGCTACCTAGAATGTTGCACACATAGGAAGGGTGTTCATCCAATGTCCACTTTATTTTCAATGTTGAAGAAAAATTGGAAATATGCTGAAAAAAGACAGAAAAATTACATTTGGGCTTGAAAAATGCATGTACTGAGGCAGTTGCAGAGCACCTTGTCTGAGGTTATCAGAAAGAAAACCAGGAAGATGAGTTATTAATAAATAGATCCTTGTGGACAAGACACCAAGTGCTAAATGGCTGTTTAATCTAGCAGAGGAAGAGGGATGAGAACGGCTGCTTAAATTCTGAAGTTGCATTACCTTGAAAATAGAAACCAGGCACCTGTGCTTCAAGATCTTTTAGAGAAATTCTCAGAAGAGGTAGTGGAGACCCCATCTCTTAATGTTTTCAAATCCAGAGGGGTAGCAGCTTGAAAGCTTGCCTTCCTGTGAAGAACTGAACCCAGTACACTGGAAGCAAAGTGAAATTGCTCAAGAATCTGCTCTCCAGGAGCTTGAGACATGATCTGATGGACTGACTATGAGTCACTGACAGTGGCAGCAAGTGCAGGTCTGAGCCCGGGCAGATGGACTGCTGTGAATGGTGGAGGAGGCAGGAGGTGGTAGCAGTGTGAAGTGGGTGCTCGCTGCCCTCTGTGTGCCTCTCCCTCCATGAGTTGTCTGTCTCCTGCAGCGAACCAGCCCGGAAGGTGGGATCCACCTCAACTGCCATTATTGCCACAATCTTTTCAGCGGGAAGCCGGAGATCCTAGACTGGCAGGTGAGGACTTTCCCCAGGGGGATGTTGAGGCTGAGGCCAACCCCGGTGAGGACCACAGGGCTCCTTTCTCTCCCTGCTCAAAGCAGAGCTCCTTCTGTGCCAGTGCTCTGAATGCCTTAGCTGCAGAGACATGCCTGGAGACTGTGCGCCGAGTAGGACGTCAGAAGGGCAGGAGGAGACCACTTCTGCCAAACCCCATGCCAGGAGAGCTGTGGACTTGGCTCAGCCTGGTAGTCCTACTCTTGCTTCCCCAAGAAGTGTGGGGACCTCCTGCCAGCCTGGCTGACCTGGTGGCGGTCTCTTTGGCAGGACAAGGTGTATCAGTTCTGCTGCAAGGACTGCTGCGAGGACTTCAAGCGGCTGCGTGGGGTGGTGTCTCAGTGTGAGCACTGCAAGCAGGAGAAGCTGCTGCATGAGAAGATTCGCTTCTCTGGAGTGGAGAAGAACTTCTGCAGCGAAGGTACTTGGGGAAGACGTGGGAGAGGCAGACCCCCCCATGCCAGCCCATGCTGGGGGAGAAGAGAGCATGGAGAGGAACAGAGGGGAGACTGTCTTAGCCAGGCCCTGGGGCGAGAGCCTTGCCATGCAGTGAAGGGAGGACTGTTGTGGGGATGGCTTGCTGTCCAGCCAGGCCCTAGGGCAAGATCTTTACCATTCATTGTGTCCTTGGGGAGGGCTTTCTCACAGCTTTTCTCTCTCTGGGGGCTGGGGAGACAGCAGGTGGCAGCTCCGCTCCTCCTGTCATCATGCACTTCTACGCTCTTGCGTCTGGGCTGGCCTGACCTGGCCTTGCCCTGCCTGCTGGGTTCCTGCACACAGGAGGTTGGAGTCAGACTCTTCCTAGAAGCATGGAGGTGAGAGATGGCAAGTCCCCATGAGGTCCCATCTTATCCCAGCCCCAGGGGCCAGTGCTGGATTGTTCCCTACAGTGTGTTGCGTGTGCTCTGTTGTCTCCGCAGACCTGGATTCTGGTCATGTTTGGGTCAGGGAGGCCCCCAGTTCATCCTGGGAAGGTTTCACTCCTATTGTTTCTCCGCAGGGTGTGTGCTTCTTTACAAACAGGATTTCACCAAGAACCTGGGCCTGTGCTGCATCACCTGCACCTACTGTTCTCAGACCTGCCAGCGGGCGGTCACCGAGCAGCTGGAGGGCAGCACCTGGGACTTCTGTAGTGAAGACTGCAAAAGCAAATACTTGCTCTGGTACTTCAAGGTCAGTATTGGCACTGGCAGCTTGTGCTAAGTGCTGTGGTGGGCACAGCACCCAGATAAGTGGGCATTGCACTGAGGAAGTTCGCACTGCTGGAGTCTGGCTGGCACTGCTGCGGAGAACCTGGCACTGCTGGAGTCCTGCCTGGTAATGACGGGACACTGCTACGGGGAAGCTTACGTAGCTGGAGTCCCCAGCTGATCCTGCCAGAGCACTGCACTGAGGAAGCTCACAGTGCTGGATCCGCGGCTAGTGCTGCTGTGAGAAGTTCGCACCGCTGGAGTCCCCGGCTGGCACTGGCAGGGCACTGCTGTGGGGAAGCTCACAGCACCTTGCTATGTGCACCTTTCACTGGAGAGTTGTGTTGCACTCGGAGGGGGTGTGGTTAGTTACTCGTTGTTTCTCTCCTGCTGATGCGGGCTTTAGGCAGCTCGGTGCCATGCCTGCAAGCGTCAGGGGAAGCTGCTGGAAACCATCCACTGGCGGGGGCAAATCAAACACTTCTGCAACCAGCAGTGTCTGCTGCGATTTTACAATCAACAGAACCAGCCCAACCTGGACACGCAGAAGGGGTACAGTGAGTAGGAGGGAGGGAGGGGACCTGCATAGCTCAGTCTGAGAGACACAGGGAAGACTGAACAGCGAGGGGTGGAAGCTTCGTGCCCGGGACTGGATGAGACGCTAGGGAACAATCCTGCACTGGCCCTTGGGGGGGAAAGGACGGAGTGGGACCTAATGGGGCTTCTCCATCTCTAACGTCTATGGTTCTATGACACACAGGGCCCAGACGGGAGGAGCCGGTGCCAGCGTGCTGCCTGTAGCTCACACTCTTAGCGAGGATACTCAGGGATTTAACATCCTCATGTTGCCAGCGGAGAGCTCGATTTACAGGGTTAGGGGACAGCGTGGTTTGGCATGATAATCCACTTGCAGCCCCACACCACCTCCAAGCTGTGACCTTCTCAGATCTCATAAGCTAATCAGGATTGGGCCAGGTCAGTGCTTGGATGGGAAACATTCAAGGAAAACACAGGGTGCTGCAGGAAGTGGTGCTGGTGATGCTGTAGGTGGGCTCTCCTCAGCCAGACCTGAACCTAGAACGATCTTGAGGGAGCGCTGAGCTGCTGGAGGCACTCTGTCTTGTGATGTTAGATTGGAGTCCTACCACTTACCCAAAGATCGCTGCAGCTTTGGGGAGTTGCCAACCCCGTGTCCCGGATAACCCTATTCTGCATCTGTGGAGTTCCAGCTGGAGAGGAGATTTTGACTGCCTGTTGCCCCATATCCTATCATTAACTTGAGCCAGTTGCTTATGGAAGATTGCAAAGTGCTTTGGGGTCCCTCAGGATGGAAGGTGCTCGTAGTGACAGTGACAAGACATCGCTTGGCCTCGGACTCTCGCATAGTCTCATTTTGCTTGGTCTTTCATAGGCCATGATCTTCTAGGTAATCTGTGATCTAGTTAAAATGCCTGCAGCTTATGTTTGGACTCACTTCAGTGCATCAAACTTCGACAGATACCTGGATCACAGGCTCAGGGCTTTGCTGCCCTCCCTGGGATTTCATGAGGTGTAAAACCCTGACTAGGGTGCACCAAGGAGGGGAAACCAAGACAAGGACCTTCCCGTGAGAGACTTCATCCTCCATCTCCAGACTCTTCCTGGTTCCTCTCCTGACAGCAGTGGGCTGATTGCAAGACAGGGGAAGCCCTGGATGTCAGTGCTGCTTAGACAGCAAAGCAGAGGTGCTCTGCCAGAAGCGGCAGGTCCCCCCAGCCAGGGGAGCCCCAGCCTGCCGTCCAAGAGCCATGTTCTGTAAAAGGCCGTGTGAGACGACGGCTCAAGTGGCAGCGCACTGAAGTGACCTGGATAAGGAACTGTTGGTTTCTGCTGGCATGGGGGTGCCCAGGGGGAGTCTGCTTGATGGGGCACAGACTGTCCGGCTGCCCAGGGGAGGAAGAGGTGTTAAACTTGCTGGCTCCTGTAGCTCACCAAGTGGTTCCACAGCCCTAGCCATGCTGTTCCATTTGTCCTCTGTTTTCAAGGCATCTCACTTGTGAGGGACCCATAACACTGCTTTTGGGACACAGGCACAGCAAGCAAGCTGTGCTTGCAGAAGGAAGCATGTTTCACACCATTTGGCCATTGTCTCCTTGGAGCCATGGACCACAAGACTGCGAAGTACCTTCAACAACAACAACCACAAGAGTCCAAGCCCCACCCTCCACCACATCTCTGGAGGCCCCCAAGAACTTCACTGTTTGGCACATGGGGCACTACCCTTCACCATGCTGCAGCTGCCTCTCCATGCACCCTGTGAGGCAGAGGACTCTGAGGACAGTCAAGGAAAAGCCCATCAGCAGTGGTGAACGCTTGGCTGAGCACAAGCTCCAGACTGCCCCAGTAGCTGCCATGCTTGGTGAATGACGCTGGTGGCACTGGGCCCTCTGTGTGTTCTGGCACACTCATCCCATGCCAATTGTGGGATAGCCATGGACATCCTTGTCCCAGGACTGCAGCATACTGCTCAGCTTGCAAAGGAAGGGTGCTGGAGCCAGGGCCTGCCATGTGTTTACACAGAGAGCTTTCCAGCCCAGCGTGCTATGCGGGGGACTTCAGGAGGAGCAACTTGTTAGTGCATGGTGAGGAACAGCTTCTGCCTGGTCCAGACAGGGTTTCCTGTGGACCTGGCAGTTGTGTTGCCAGCTCACAAGGGAGTACCTGGATTTCAGGCCCATCTTGGGCAGAGCTGCTGACTACTTGCTTCTCTTGCAGCCAGTGGTTGCCTAGAACCATTCATTCCTGTGACCCAGTGGCTGCTGCCAACCTGGTGATCCTGAGAGTGCTTGCTGATGATGAAAGTGGCCATTCCTTTGCTGGGAAAAGTTTGTGTAATGAGGGATTGAGGAGCTTTGTGCCCAAAGACTTCCAAGGGGAACTGCCTCTGCATGGGGCGGCCATCCAGCTGGAGAGGATAGAGGGCCAGAAGTCACAGTTGGTGCAGGCAATGCCTTGACAGCTCCTTGCTGGTGTTGGGATGAGAGTAAAGAACAAGATGAAGCTTTTCTGGAAGCCTGGACATGTAGTACATGGAGCTTTGTGGCAGGAGGATCTTGTTTCCCTTAGTCCTAAATCATTGGCTTGTGGGGCAGTCAACTCTGCTTTTGATTCTGCTGCAGCAGAAACTCTGCTCATAGTCTATAGCTTGTCTTTTCTCATTCAAGCCTTTGATGTCTCCCACCTAGACCCGCTGCCCATCCACTTCGGTCTCGTCAAGGGGAGTTCTTGGACCCATCAAGACCATTGCAGATCCTATGGCTGAATGCTCAGCAGCAGGCTAGGGAGCTTCCTCCAACTGGAACTTACCCACCCCTCTGTGGTGGTCAGCAAGTGGACCCTGCTGAGCCTCCAGTTGCTCAAGGGCTATCCTGCATTTCCTCGGGACAGAGGAAATCTGCAAAGTGCAAATGCCCATGTGTTGGTCCTTTGGGAGTCTGGGTCTTTCCTGGAGAGCCTATCTGTATGTAGGAGGTGCAAATGGACCCACCACTCCCTTTGGGTGCTGAGACCTGCTGCTTTCCTTGCAGGTGTCTCCTTCATGCATGGCCCACGGTTAGTCAGTGCTGTAGAAGGTAGTTCTTTTTCCCAGCCACATGGGTAACCAGGGCTCACAGGAGACTTGGATGAAGGTGCTCTTATAGCTCATCAGCCTTTGAGACGGGTGCAGGTTCTCTGCAGAGCAAATGAGCTGGAATTATCATCCAAGCCAGGATGGTATTGTCGCCACCTGAGACTAGTGTCTGCCACATGCACCTCTTACCTGCAGGTGATCCCCTCTTTCCTTAGGGGTATGGACTGCATCCCTAGGGCTGGGGCAAGCTGTCTCACTGCTTTCTGGGATATCTCATAATGCTACTAATAGCTCTGTCACCTTCTTCCTAGGGATCTCGAAGCACTTTGCCAAGTTATTTGTAGCAGGGAGATGGAGGCACAGGGAGGGGCCATGGCTCGGTACAGCAAGCCAATAGGCAGAGCTGGGAGTAGAGCCCTGGATTCCTCTCTCTACAAGGGGCTGGGATTTCTCCTGACCTGCTGTGATGGGGATGGGGTAGACTGCAAGGGAGCACAAAATGACATGGGAATGAGTTGATTTTGGAGTTGTAGCATCTTCTGAGCTGCTAGGGCTAGAGATTGTGGAAACATTAACTGTTCCTGGAGTGGCCAGGAGCAGTTTCTGGGGAGCCTGTCCCTACCCTCTGGCTGCTGCCACCTCCAGTCCCAGCAGTGGGACCTGTTGGCCCAGGAGCTCTTGGACTTAGTCATTGCTTTCTCTTACAGGTCAAACTTCAGAGCCAAAACCACCTGCCCCTTCCCCACAGAAGGCAGAGACTAACATGGTAAGGCCTGTTGGAGGTAGGAGTTTGTAAGATAGGATAAAGGGGCTGTCCCCAAAGAGAGGACAGATCTGCAATTGCTCAGGGACATTTAATCCTTCTACAGCCGATACATTTTAAGATGTCTGGGTAATGGGAGCTGATAAGAGCTGCTGGGGGAGGGCAGCATCAGCATATCTCCTGCAAGGGGGAAGAATAACCATTCCCCAGGAATCGATGATGGGCTTCAGAACAGCCTGGCACTGGCTCCTCTTTGCATAGCGCTCGCCTGTGCCTGGGTATAGTTGCTGTACCACTGTTCCCTGCTGCCCCATGGGGCAGAAGCAACCAGTGGCAGACTCCCTGCTGGCTGCTGCAGAGATGCCACACAGGCTTGCTGCCTGCCAGGAGTAGCTTGACAGTCCTTCGGCTGGGTCTGACCGTGAGAGTGTCCATGTGTGTGTTGGGGACTGCCAGGCTCCAGGAGGTGCTTTGGGAGTCTCTCCAGCTGTACCCATGGTTGGGAAATGGTGGTGCCGCCTTAGGTGGACACCAACCTTCTGCTTTCTGCGTTTCCTCAGCTGTCAGCAAAGACCTCCTCAGCCCAGATGTCTCCAGCCGCGCCACCTCCCCTGACCCCTCCGGTTCCAGCCACCCCTCGGAAAAACAAAGCTGCCATGTGTAAACCACTGATGCAGAACCGGGGTGTTTCCTGCAAGATAGAAATGAAGTCCAAAGGATGTCAGACAGGTAGGAAAACAAGACATAACTGCAGGATTACCGGGGCGTTTTGGAAAGGCAAGTGGCACATCCCTGCTCCAGACAAAATGCGAATCCAGCTTGAAATGCTGTACAGAGCAGCTGGGATTTTGGCACTGTGTTGAGGAGTCTCAGGGTAGTGCAGGGCACACACGGCAGGGCTGGAAGTAAGGAGCCTATTTCCATCAGCAGCAAAAGGAGAGACACAGAGAGCCCTGCAGCATGATCCCACCTCTTGTGGGACAACTCCTGTTCCTCTGGAGATCATGAGCTTGTCTGAGGGGCCATCTGCTGAGCAGGTTCCACTGTGCAGCTCCTGTCGGGCATGTGTTTGTGGTCTCCAGCATATGCAAGGCAACTAGACCCCTCAGCAGGGCCGCATAAGAGCAGGGCTTGCACCTCTGGCTAAGGCAGGCTCTCTTGTTGCAGGGCTGTTTGGCTTGCTGCTGCTCCAGCTCTGCCCATGAGTCACAGAAGCTGGTGGCTGGAAGGGCCATGGTGCTGCATGGCTGGGGGCATGGCAGTGCACAGTGGGGCTGGTTGGAGGAGCTGCTGGGAGCAAGCTCACTGACGTACTTCTGCTCTTGTCAGAGGCTGACTGGAAGCCCCAGGTGATTGTGTTGCCAATCCCCGTCCCGATCTTCGTGCCTGTGCCTATGCATATGTACTGCCAGAAAGTACCTGTGCCTTTCTCCATGCCTGTCCCGGTAAGCAACACACTACACCTGCTCGTGTTCTCTTACTGTCTCAGTCCTGCCTTGCTGCAGCCTCCCTGCTTCTCTGTTTGTCCTCTTCTGCCTCTGCTTTTACATCCATTGGCTGAGTGTCAGTTTTCTGCCTGGTGTGCTGCTGTTGACAGGTGCCTGTGCCAATGTTCCTGCCCACCACACTGGAGAGCACAGATAAGATTGTGGAGACCATTGAGGAGCTGAAGGTGAAGATCCCCTCCAATCCCCTGGAGGCTGACATCCTGGCCATGGCTGAGATGATTGCAGAGGCTGAGGAACTGGACAAGGCCTCCTCAGACCTGTGTGGTAGGTTCTGCCATGGCTTGGTCTGGCCCAACAGCTGGGATCATGTGGGGTTTGCCGGCTCTTGGAGCTGGAGTGTCCACCTGGTTCACAGCTCCCCCAAAGCCTTTTGAAAGGGAGCAGGGAAGAGCAAGTCCTCAGCTTCTGCTGAGGAGGTACCAGGAGGGAAGAGCTGCAGCAGGGAGCAGTGCCTGCCACTGTCCCTTTTGGGGGTGCCAGTCTTGTTGCACATGTGCAGCACTATTAGTTTATTCAGGTGGCTGTTCAGGCTCTTGCCTAAAGCAGCTTCCCAGCCAAAAGACTAGCAGTCCTGACCTCACAGGTCTTTTGACTTGGGGGCTGCATTCCTCAAGCCCCAGTGACTAGGGCTGTGGCTGAGGAGAGAACAAAGGTCCGGTGTCTCGCTGTCCAGGGAAAGCAGATGTTGCGGGGCTGCTCTGGGCACAGGACTGTGCTGCAGGGAGCCTGACTTCATTTTCCAGCTGTTACAGGGAAGACAGACAAAAGACTTTCTTGAAAGTTGGGTTTATGATCTGCCTTTGCATTGCAGACCTGGTGAGTAACCAGAGTGCAGAGGGTCTCCTGGAGGACTGTGATCTGTTTGGACCGGCACGGGACGATGTGTTGGCTATGGCTGTCAAGATGGCAAATGTCCTTGATGAGCCGGGCCAGGACCTGGAGGCCGACTTCCCTAAGAGTAAGAGCTGGGTGAAGCAGGCATGCAGGGCTGCTCATGCTGCAGCAGGGTCCTCCCACTGCCCTCGGCCGACCGTTGCCAGCAGCATTAAGAGCTGTGTGAACTTACCTCCCCATGCCCTCTGACTGACCAGGCTTGAGGCCAGGAACTGAGAGTCTTGCAGATGACTGCTCGCAGCAGGGGTGAGGAGACCACCACTTTTGAAGGAGTGTGTGTTTGTCTAGACTAACTGACCTGTTGCGAACATAGGTCTGCAGAGAAGAGGGAATGAGAAGCCGATTTTAACAGCACAGAAAGCAGGGCAGTGGCACTGGTGTGCTTATGGATGATGATTCCAGAGGATCCAGCAAGGCGAGAGAGAGACGTGGACAGGGCATGATGTCCTAGGAGATGGCAGAATTGCTGAGTGTCCATTAGCAGGCAGAAAGTGGAAGAAGAGGCAGGGACTTTCAGGAGCACAGCAGTGCTGAGGCAGGATGCTAGCAGCAAAAGACAGAGAACTGGGATGCCTGTGCCAGGCTGTCCCCAGTGCTGGCCTGGCACAAGGGGATGAGGAATGTTCCTCAGGTTTAAAAAACAAACAAAAAACTGTCAGAGGGGAGAATGTGGGGCTCTGGTTAGTCTGAGAAAGCTTAGCATCATCTGCCAGAGCTGTATTTCCTTTGGGTTGTGGCTGAAAGTTCATGCTGGGCAGTGGTGGAGGGTGTGAAGCATTGGGCTGTGTTCCACCTTCATCTTGCTGTAAGAACCAGGCCAGCACAGGGGACAGGATGAGAATTCTCAGCTGAGCCCTTCTGCCTGTGTTTCCTTTCAGACCCTCTAGACATCAACCCCAGTGTGGACTTCCTCTTTGACTGTGGGCTGGTGGGACCAGATGATGTGTCCACAGAGCAAGAACTGCCTCGTGCTGTCCGAAAGGTGAGCTCTCCGTGGGTACTGCCTGCTTAAAGCTCTTTGGGTTTGGAGTGGGAGCTGTCGTCTGGGATATATGAGGTGAAGTGTACCAGAAGCTTTCGTGTGCTGGGGAGGTTGTGCCCTCTCCCTTCAGGGCATGCCTGGCCTGTGGCTACTCCTTGAATGAAAATACTTGCCTGTCACTTCAGAGGAGCTTTGAATGCCACGGGTCATATGAGAGCTGACCTCTTTCCTGCCTGTGGTCCTCATAACTAATGGGCCTTGTTGGTTTGGCTGTCAGCAGAAAGATGCCTGCTGGCATGGGCACAGGCACACTGGGAGAGAGCTGGCAGTCAGCAGGTCTGAGGCATGGCCACGACTCTTGCATCTGTCCCAGGTAGGTCCCCAGTCTCACAGTACACCTCTCTGCAGGGGCAGAAGCGTCTGGTGCTCTCTGAAAGCTGTTCCCGGGACTCAATCAGCAGCCAGCCCAGCTGCACAGTGCTGAACTACTCATATGGTGTGAATGCCTGGAAGTCTTGGGTGCAAGCCAAGTATGCAGGGGGAGAGACCAGCAAGGGAGAGGAGCTACGCTTTGGCCGTAAGTGCCCTGTCTGGATGGGGTGGAGGGGCAGAAACTTCCCAAAAGCTGGGTCTCAAGATGTTGAGGTGCTCCTGGCCTTGCAGGCTATTGTCTGAGGCTGCTGTGCTTGTCTTCACAGCCAAGCCCATGAGGATCAAGGAAGACATCTTGGCCTGCACAGCAGCTGAGCTCAACTATGGCCTGGCCCAGTTTGTCAAGGAGATAACACGGCCCAATGGGGAGCGCTATGAACCGGACAGCATCTATTATCTCTGCCTTGGCATCCAGCAGGTGAGGGAGGGCTTACTGCCCTCACGTCCTCCACAGCCAAACTTGGGGGTCAGATCTGGTGAGGGGAGCTTGTATCCTTTATTCTGCCTTCTGGGGACCCAGAGAGGCTTACTGGACTCTGCTTCAGTGCCTCACCCCAAGACAGCAGCCCACCTGGTTCAGTCTTTGTTCCCAAGCCCAGCGTGTAGGGTGGCAGCTGTTCCCCAGCCTTGCACCCTTCTTGCACATCCTTGAGGAGGGCTGGGAGATCTCCCCAAACTCAGTCCCTTCTTCAGCACCAAGTCTGCTTTGTCATGCCCTGGGGTTTTCCTTACAGCTCTCAGAAGTGGCTGGTTTTAGGAGTCTGCCCTGCAGCTCTGGTTGTACAAGGGGAGGTGTTCTGCATGTATACCCTGGGCTCTCTGGGGAGGGTTTGCATTCTAGGTGCTGCTGTGTCTCTCTTGACTGTGTGTTCTGTCCTTCCTAGTACCTGCTCGAGAACAATCGTATGGTGAATATATTTACAGACCTGTACTACCTGACCTTCGTGCAGGAGCTGAACAAGTCCCTGAATGGCTGGCAACCCACAATCTTACCAAATAGTATGTGTCTCCAGAGTAGCTTCAGTCACCACACGTACCTAGTTTGTGCTTCTAGCCTTGGATCCTCCAGTATGATTGTGCTCCCCCAGCCTCAACCCTGTTACTTGGCATAGGCAGCATGGTCCCACTGTGTCTTGGGGTCATACTGACCCATACCGACAGCAGAACCAGCCTGGTTTACGCCTCAGCAGCTTCTGTTGCCCAGAGTTAGGGTAGCTGGGAGCAGAGCACGGCTGCTTTGTGTCCTGGGGCAGTTTGAATCTTTACAGCATTTCACAGTGATGTCTCCATCATTTGGCAAAGAGGATACCAAATCAGGAGGCATGCTGGCTCATGTCTTTGTGTTCCCAGCACATGGGCAAGCCCTGCACACTGTGCTAAGTGTTGGCCAGGGTTGCTGTGCTGCCGCCTTGTGAGCAGACTAATTTAGAGCTCTGCAGAGGCTTTTCATGATGCTGTGATCTGGGCTGCCTTCCCTGCTGTGTCTTGTCTGTGGTTAGTTCACAGATCCAGCCTCACCTCTGCATATTGGCTGTCCCAGGCAGAAGCATTTGGCTCCAGACCTGTGTGTCTAGGCAGGAGCTGGCCATGTCTGTCCCTGCCTACTGCTTTTCCTTCATTTCATGTTGAGTGTGGTGGAGCACTGACCCGGAGTTCACTTTGTGGCCATCTGTAGGGATGAGCGGGTAGGATTTATTTGGGTTCTGGCCTGTGGTTTGGCTGCGCTCTGGGGCAGCTTGTGGCTGGGCAGAGCCAGCATCTAGCTCTGCTGATGGCCTGGAGAAGTAACCTCGTGGAAAACAGGATGTTGTGAAGCGTCAGTCTTTTGCAGTGAGCTTGCCTGGGCAGGGTGAAGGGATTGCCACGAGGCCACTGTTGACTTGACCTGGTTCTTCCTCTGTGCATTGCAGACACAGTTTTCTCGCGTGTTGAGGAGGAGCACCTCTGGGAGTGCAAGCAGCTGGGCGTTTACTCACCCTTTGTGCTCCTCAACACTCTCATGTTCTTCAACACCAAGTTCTTCGGGCTGCAGACAGCAGAGGAGCACATGCAGCTCTCCTTCACCAACGTGGTGCGCCAGTCCCGCAAGTGCACCACAGCCCGTGGCATGACAAAGGTTGTGAGCATCCGCTACTACGCTCCTGCCAAGCAGAAGAAAGGTCGAGGTAGGGTCTGACAGAGCACCTTGCTGTCCCTTCCCCTGCCTCCCGCATCGGGTCCCAGCCATGATCCTGCTCTCTCCCCCTCTGCAGATGGCAGCTCTGGAAAGCGGAAGCGTGAGGAGGAGGTACCGATGCTGGAGCAGCGGGAGAACAGGATGAACCCGCTCCGATGCCCAGTCAAATTCTATGAGTTTTATCTCTCCAAATGGTGAGACTTTCTCCGGAGAAGGGGCATGTGGCATTTTGGAGCCATCTCTCAGCTTTGGTGGGACCCTGTGGGGTGGCTGCTGCTCTCCAAACATTTGTACTTTGAGTGTGAAGCCTTGTCCAGGGTCTGCCCTGCTTGTATAGTCAGTGGTTGAGAGAATGCTTCTCTCTGGACCCTTCCACTACTTGCCTCTCTCCAGACAGGCAGGAGTGTGCAGTATGTGTCCTGGTGCTTGGCTGGTTAGGGGCTTTGGTCCTGAGTGAGGAGCTGAAGACTCAGTTTGTGTCCTCATTCTGCCGAAGGATGAGAGGCTGTGATAAGCCTTGAGCCACCCCTTGACAACCATGAGGGCAGGCCAGGCTTTCTGAGCCCCTAGAGCTGATATCCTAGGGCTCACCTTCCTCTCTTTTTACAGCCCTGAGAGTCTGCGGAACCGCAACGATGTCTTCTACCTGCAGCCTGAACGGTCGTGCATTGCCGAGTCCCCACTCTGGTACTCAGTCATCCCCATGGACCGGAGCATGCTGGAGAGCATGCTGAACCTCATTCTGGCCGTGAGGGAGATCTACGAGGAGCACAGTCGGCTCAGCAGCCTGGAGGATGACATGGACTAAGCGTGAGGTGCTGCTGGGCTGGCTGCGCTCCAGCCCTGGATGCCTCATCTCCCTGCCTCCTGCTGCAGGGCAGGGGCCGTGCAGCATGGGAGGGGACAGTGCTGCAGCAGTGCTGTCCATTCATTGTTACTGGACTTGGACATCCCATCCTGCTCGTTACAGGCCTCTCCTACGTACGTGGCCCCCGTGCTCAGCCCTGCCTCCTGTCCCGGCTGTTGAGTGAGCCGTCTTCCCCAGGGCCAGTCCCCCACAGCACAGGGTTGACAGAGCCCCTGGGGCAGCTCCCCTTGCCCAGCCTTGTCCCTTCTTACCCACAGCCCTGACACCACCCCCATCTCCGCCTGCCCTGGGGCAGGAACCACACAATACTGCAGAGCGCTGTTTGGGACCAGTGGCCCAAAGGCTTTTAATTCCCCCTTCCTTTAGCATTCCCTTGAGAGGCTGCGAGTGGCACGACAGGAATGGTGGCTTTGCTGCTGCTGCTTTGGCAGGATGGTGTTTTCAAGGGTGGGGAAGGACCACTGGCAGCCTGAGAGCTGTTGGGTCAGGGGGAGGGCTTGTTCCCACACGGGGAGAAATTTGGGCTGGCTTCAGGGAGCAGAGGGAGCCAGTGCTGGAATGTGAGGGCAGAGACCTGGCCTCGCCACAGGGGTACCTCCCTCGTGCACAGCTGGGCTGCCTCCCTCAATTTCGTCAATATTTTCTGAATTGGCAGAAAACTGATGGAGGCTGGTCCTGTGCCAGCGTTGCCCCTCCCTCCCCGCTGTCCCCTGTCCTGGTGTAACCCCCCTCCCTGGTGCAAGGTGCCATCGGTGGGTCCCTCTGCTCCAGCTGGAGGCTTGGGTAGCTGCTGGCAGA